AGCCCTGTGCTGTTGTGGACCATGTTATTGTATGCTACTTCCATGAATGATAGCAAGTCTGCCCAATTGCCTTGTTGATAATCCACATAGCATCTCAGGTACTGCTCCACCATTGTGCTCGCTCATTCCACAGCTCCGTTCATGCTCAGATGGAAAGTCGAGCTCAGTCCTTGTGAGGATCCAATGAATCATAGAAACTCCCTCCAGAACTTTGCTGTAAATTGGACTCCCCAGTTGGAAATGACCCGGCGAGGCATTCCATGCAGTCTATAGATTTGCTTGATGAATATTCTCACCAGTTTTTTAGCTAAGGGTAATCTGGTGCAAGTGATGAAATGAGCTCGCTTAGAAAATATGTCTATTACTATCCAAATGATGGTGTTTCATCCGCTCTCAGGAAGTTCAACTATAAAATCCATAGCTGTCTCCTCCCATGGTTGGCTGGGGACAGCTACTGGCTGGAGTAGACCAGAGGGTTTTCCTGGTCTCATTTTCATTTTCATGGCTGCACATGTGGAGCAGCTTTTTACATAGTCTTCCACCTCCACTTTCATTTTTGGTCACTAAAATTGTCTTCATGCTAAGTGAAGTGGGTTTCTGAAAACACTTCACTTAGCATGAAGACAATTTTAGTGACCAAAAATGAAAGTGGAGGTGGAAGACTATGTAAAAAGCTGCTCCACAGCCAATTGGGAGTTGTCACTGTGCTGTAGTACTTGTAGCCTCAGGCTGGCTGGGACATATAGTTTAGATCCTTTCCAAGCCAACCCATCATGCAGGGTTGGGGTGCCTCTGTTGTCCTTCACCCATTGGCCAGTGTAAAGTGCTGATTTAAGGGCTGTGACTATCAGGTCTCCTCTTGAGTTATCACAACTCTGGGTTTGGCCTCTGGTAGTGACTTGAGCAGCTAGTTGAGAAGGGAGTATAACTGGGGTATAAAGGGGGTGTAACATTTCCTCTCATCAACTGTTGAACTAGGGTTTTCTTGATAAGGTGTTGGCTAGTTTGTTCTGGAATGTGTTTTAGCTCAAAGTTGAAATGCTTGAAGTACTTCCTAGGAGTTTTTAATACCTCTAGGTTATTGTGGTTGGTCCAGACTTCAAAAGGCATGCTACTGCCTACTAAAAGGGGCCCCAGGAGAGGAGAGCCCACCTGACTGCATAGGCCTCTTTCTCCCATATGACCCATCGCCGTTCAGTATCTGTAAGTTTTTTGGACACATAGACGCAGGACTGCAGTTAATCATGAGGATTTTCTTGTAGCAGCATGGTGGTGACAGCAACATCACTGGTGTCAGCCTGCACCACAAATGGCCGTTCGGGTTCAGGGTGTCATAGGAATGGCTCCTTGGAAAATAGCTTCTTTAACTTCTCAAATGCCCATTGACAGTCAAGGATCCAGTTTAAGGTTTGGTTGGGCGGGGCTTTGGTCCAGTCCCCTTCATCTTTAATAGATCCATAAGGGGCACAGCCATTTCAGCAAACATGGGAATGAACTGCCAGTAAAAATTTGCAAAGCGTAGGAAGCTTTGAAGCTGCATGTGATAGTAGGCTTCTTTGAGGTCCAGCTTGGTAAACACCTTTCCCCTTGCCAGGTGGTTGAGCATATCTGTCATGATGGGGAGGGTGGAACCAATATTTATTCCACAGAAATCAATGCAAAGCCTCATTCCCCCCCCCATTTTCCTCTCTTTATAGAATGTGGATTGGGTGAATCCTCTCACTCAATTTGTGTCAATGTATTTCCTCAATTCGACCATCTCTTTAGGGGTCATTGAATACACTTTTGGCTTAGACAGCTTTGCTCCTGGCATAAATTCTACATGCAGTCCATGGGCTGATGAGAGGGGAGCACATTGCATTTGTCTTCACTGAAGACTTCTGCTAAGTCTCTGTACCCTTTGGGTATCCTCGAGCAGCCGGGTAGAGCCTCTGTGGTGAAGGCTACTCCCTGTGGCTGGGGTCACATGGTTCTAAAGGGGGCCAGTTCTTGGTTTGCAGGAGGGTAGAGGTCCGATGCCCACCTTTAGGCTCTGATAGCCATCTTCCCAAGTGATTGTCAGGGCCCACTTGTCAAGCTAGGACAGACCAAGGATGAGTGACTTGGTCATTTTTGGAGCAACTACAAATCTAATGATTTCCCAGTGGCATCCCATCTCTAGCCTTACAGGTTCAGTGACTAAGGTTGCAAGTGTGCCACCCACTAGTGACCCATCCACCTGTTCAAATCGGATGGGGCAGCCCAAAGTTCTCATCTTTATCCCTAGATTCTGTATGGTCTGTGTGCTGATCAAGCACCTGGTACAAACAGTGTCTATTATGGCCTCTAGGTCCCCATGGACCCTGTCCTGGGTACTACTATGTGGGACTTTATGGTGAAGAGACAGATGGCTTCACTTACCATCGGATCCTCCTCGCCACTTCCACTGGTGTTGGTGCCCTCTGGAACCAGAGTTTCCCCCTCCTGGTAAAAGTGTACTAGGAGGGGGACCTCCACAGCTTGCCAAACAAATTTCCCTTTGTCTTGTGGCTTTCTGGGAGTTTTCTCAACTTTGGCACCACTGGCATTTGTGCCTGTGGGATCAAAGCTGGTGCGAGGCATTTGGAGGCCCTGTGGCCCAGTTGACCACATCTGAAGCACTTGATGGGCATGGCTGCTGGTCTCATCTCCACTGCCTGCTTGGTGGCAACTCAATAACCCAATGGTCATTTGGGGGCCTTTTCTGGTGTGGATCTTTGGTGGGGGTGAATATCTAAGTCAATAGTCACCACCATCCAATACCAATCTTGGATCTAGTTTGGTAACTCCCCTGTAGGTGCACACTTGCTTAAGGTCCTGATCAAGGGCCTCTTTGAAATAATGGATGAAGAATTGCTCTGGCCAGTCCTGTCTTTTACCAGCTACTCTTCTAAAGTTCCACACAAACTCCTTGGGGGGGCCAGCCGTGCTATTTCAATCCCTTGATTTAAGCTTTGGCTTCCTCTCGGTTGGCTGTGTCCTCAAACTGGGCCCTTACAGACTGCACAAAATCATCCACATTCTCTAACTTGGATGTTCCTTCATCTTAGAGTTGGGGAATCCAGTCTGCTGCTTCCCCCTCTCTCATGTTGTCCACAATGGCCAAGATTATCTCCTGGTCCAATTGGTATTGAGCTCCATATTGATTGATGTGGTCCCAGATACAGTTTAGGAAGTAAGTGAGCTTCCCTGGGATGCTCTCAAAGATTGACAGGAACTTGTGGTAGGGCAGCCAAAGGCAGTGCGGAGGCGGCCAGCAGAACCGGTGGTGGGGCTGTAGCCATCCATTGACATTGAACCCACTCCTGGCCTGGCCTGACATTGAAGGCCCATCCAGGTGGGATTTGATTGACTGGTGGCAGACAAGGGGATGCTGGCAGAAGAGGACAAGCCAGTCTCAATAATCCCATCATTCCTCTCTGGGTGCCTGGGATTGAGTGCTCCAGGGGACCAGGGTGTTGGCCAGTCACTGCACTTTCCTGGGCAGTTGCGCCGATGGATCAGACTCGAGGGGGAAAGCTGAATCTTGGTCCACTCAGTGCAGAGTGGAACAATGCAGAGGTCCCATTTTGAATAGCCATGCTCCCAGGCCATGGGAAATTGAAGGTAGTCTGGGCTAAGCTCCAAACTGTCAGGATTGAGCGTGGGGAAACCTGAGTGGCAGGCACCACACTCAGCTGGCCGAATGTCTCAGGTAGCCCAGCAAGCAACTGGCTTCATGAAGGTGGCAGAAGCCCCCATTCCCTGGACTCACTGAGCTCCAGGGGCTTCATCATCCTCCACTTGAAGGCTGCTACATCCTCAGGATAGCTCAATATTCAGGGAGGCACTTGGGTCTTTGCCGCAGCTTCCAGTCCTAGTGTGGCTGCTGATCCAGGTTCTGCACCCATCAGGACCAGGCCAGTCTGTTGGGGCTGCCCCAGCGATGGATCCTTGGGCCAGGCACCCTCCAGAGCTCGGCCTCCTCTGCTTCAGCTTAGGTGACCAGAGTCACCGATGGGTAGCAGATCACCCTACAAACATCCTTGGAAATGGACCCAGTATCCCCCTCAGGGGTCGTTATTTCATCTTCGCTGAGTCTTTGTGCTCCTTGATAGATTAGGGTGTGGCTAGGGCTCAGGACCCTGAACAGTGGCACTGCTTTGTGGGAAATGCTGGGATTTTTTCTTCTTCTGCAGATTTGGGTTAATGTCAGTGTTCCAACAAAATCCTCATAGTAATTCAGAACTCAAGATAAAGTCCATCAAAGTAAGAATTTATTAGAGAAGTCATATTGGCACATCTGGGGGAAAAAAACTGAATCAGAAATCCCACATTTCCCCCCCACCCACACTAAAACTCTCACCCTGCCTTGTCCAGTGACATTCACATTACATGGCCCAATCATCCCCCTGTCTCCACTGCTGCCAAACTTCAGTCACTCCCTTCCACATACCAGCAGGCCAACTTTGATATCATGTGAAAGAATGTTGTTATGATTTACTCCATCCATTACTCTCCCATTTTCACTGTGGCAGCTCTATAAAGTCTGACCAAAGATGGATCCAGGGCTGACACATACATCCCTACATGGAGATGTAGTTTGATTGTGCAGAAAATATTTAACATACAAATATTAATGAAACCTGAAGCTTTTCTTTTAGGTATTATGGACAAGCCAATTGAAAAACAATTTGGAGTGCTACTCCTTCACAAGTTGATGGCTGTGAGGATTGTACTTGCTGAGCACTGACACTGGAAAAAACAAACAAACGGATATCGAAGAATGATTTTAAAATTGACTGAATTAGCAGAGATGGCAAAATAAGTGTTTTGATCAGAAATAATGGATAGCTTTATAAATGACTGGAAGCCGTTCGTGGACTTACCATTTAATACAATAAAAGATAGTTAACAGAGGCATTTGAAGATTAAAGTAATGTTTACCTTAGCCTATTGACTGCTCTTTCTTTTTTCTTCACACACACACACACAAACACGCACACATTTTGTTTTGCTTTATTTGTTTTTCTATTTTCTATTTTACCTTTTATAATAAAACAGAATAAATGTTGTGTATGTGCAGGTGCTGCTGGAAGGTTTTACTCTGGTCCATGCTAACCGTTAGCTTGTTATTGGCTAACAGCTGAAAGCCTTCTATAAAGAGCACTGCCAGCCTGAAGCCTTTGCCTTTTGCTAGTATGTTGCTGTAACAGATCATTAAAGACAAATAGTTACTTTTACCGGTTTCAACTCCATTCTTTGCCCAAATCTAACAATAAATATACTTAAATAGATACTGGGCTGAAAACCAAACCTTGGGGTATCCTACTACTTACTTCCCCTCATGTGGATGCAGTTCTGTTGAGGACTACATACCAAGTACCAGTTACAAATCCATCTAGTAGCAATTCTGTCTATCCCACAAATTATGTAACAGGACAGGTGCTTGCATCATAATACTGTTGTACTGATGTTATCAATGTGATCACTTTTGCCTATAGACACTGCTGTTTTTTGTTTCTACCTGCTTACCTATCAGGTACCTGATTACCTGACCCAAACATGAAGGGATCAATTAGCTGTTTTCTTAGACAAGACTATACAAAGAAATCTTATCAGACTGATGGTTGATACCTGTGTAAGACTAGATAAGGTCCAACAACATTCCAAAGTGTGTGTGTGTATGAGAGAGAGAGGGGGGAAGAGAGGGAGGGAGGAAGGGAGGGAGGGAGGGAGGGAGGGAGAGAGAGAGAGAGAGAGAGAGAGAGAGAGGGAGAGGGAGAGAGAGATTGATTTTGTCTTCTTGTGCCAACATAGACTAATTCCCCATTTGAAACTTCCCCCTGGCTCAGCCATTCTCCCTCTTACACTAGCAGAGTGCATCTATCTTGTGTTTCCCAATACATGCCCATGCCTTCCATTGGTATGTTCTGTTTTTCTTCATTTTCTAGCTATTTTTCCATTCATCCCAATCAAAGCTGCAGAATTGTCAGATACAGAGAAAGAGTCAGCCATCCTACAATCTGCCTCTAGATAGCTTCTTATGCTTGAATCTTACGCTGTTTGTTCCTTAAAACCTTCCGGATTACTTTTTAATCCTTGCAAATGTGTGGGGTTTTTTTTTTCCAGTTGTGTAAAAACACTGAAATATGAAAGAGGATGAAATCCCTTTCTTTGCCATATGGGTTGTAATGTGTGCTTTTGGTGAAGTTATAGAGAACACAGAATAAATTCTATTCTGATTATCTTATTGCAGGGAATAATGTATTGCTGAAAACAAAAATTAACAACAAAACTGAGGATGCATACACTGATTATCTAAAATAAGAACCTCTATCTTTAGAAACTGTCTTTCTAAATTTTATTTACTGTGTTTCTTCTGTGAGTTTTCTTATTGATTTCTATGGTTTTACTGTGTTACTTAGTCTATTATAGGTATTTTATAGGTCTCTATGAGATTACGTTATACCACATTCTATGAGCCATGTTTTTTGGTCTGTATTTGCAATGGACTCTAGAAAGGGGAGTGGCAAGGAATACAACATTGAGCTATCATCTTGTTTGTTTGCACTCTCAATACCAATTCCACCAGTTTCTATGGTGTTATTCAGTGGTGGGTTCCTCCCGGTTTGCCCCAGTTCAGCTGAGCCAGTAGCGGTGACGATATGACATCACCGAACTGTTCTCTTTGTTCGGGAGCTGGGCCCTCTGTCCCCCATCCCGTGTTATTCTTACCTTTTATTTGGCCCCACCCCCAATTTATTGCTGCCTCCCGAGTCCCAGCTGATCGGCTAGAAGGAAAAAATCTGTTTAAATTCTTGCTGTGGGGCTTCAAAGGGCCACCCTACAGCTGATCAGTGTTAAAAGGCAGTGTGGTGGTAGACCAGTGCCTCCAAAAACAAATGGGTAGACCGGTGCCTCAAAAAACGAATGAGTAGACCTGTGCCTCCAAAAACGAAGGAGTAGACCAGTGCCTCCAAAAACAAATGAGTAGACCGGTTCAGCTCTGCAAGCAGTTAAAAGCCTAGTAGACCAGTATCTCTGCTAAATACTAAAGAATTGTCATATGACTATCAAGCCACACCCACAAAATAAGCCACACCTACAGAACCAGTAGTAAAAAAATTTAGAACCCATCCCTGGTGTTATTGCAATCCATTAGGTTTCTATGGGTTAGGGTTATCTGTTTTATCTCTCACAGTTTGGATTACTAGAATCACTGCAGTCCCAAATCTGTTAACATCATTCTGATATATTTTTATGTTATGGCATAACTGATACTAGAGAATTTGGAGATAGCTATAGAGTTATTAATGGCTAATTATCTTAATCAGCAAACAGAAGTCAGTTTTATTTTGGTCTGCAGGACTCTTGAGGAAAAAACAGATAATAAACACTCAGAAGATTTTCTTAAACTGCAGATAGCTGTTTCGCTAAATGAAAATTAGATGAATTGTAGGAGAATTAGTATCAGCAAAGTAATTTCAAATGTCTCTGGATATAAATAAAGGATATGATGTTAATATATCTAAGTGGGTTTTTTAAATTTTTAAACATTAAATTATTATTGTTGAAAATCTTATTCCACATTGTTGAAAGAAATACTAACATTTCAGAGTTCACAGTTGTAATAGGCTGTATCTCATTTTCTGGCCAAACTCTCCTGGACAAAATAGAGGTTTGCACTTGATGGGAGACTGCTTTTTCAAATTGAGTTATGACTTTCCTTCTGTTGACAAGGGGATTAATTAATTCATTTTGCCAATATCTGATTTCTTCTTAAAAATATTTTCCAGTGCGTTTCTTATGTGTAATAGCAGCTAGTTAATATAAAGATAAGAGTTATGTTGTAAGTAAAGGTTTTTGTTTTTCTATTTAATTATATATAAAATGAAATGCATGTTTAGGAATCTACTGTAGCATTTATGTATTAGACTTAGAGCTTATTATACAATTTTCTTTTATTTCTTTTTTCAAATAGGTGCTAAGAGAACTGAGAAAACCAGTACTATCTGTCTCTCACATAACACAGACATACACACACGCACACAAACAAACACAAAAACATTGTACCAGAGGGCAATTTCTACTGTCAAGATTCCCAAATAAAAGATAGAACAATTTATTGTTAGATTTATTTGTCAGATTTACATTGGCTTTCTTTTTCTAGAAGCACAAAGCACCATACATAGTACATCTTTGAATTTTCCAACACAGTCACAGTCTTGTACAAGTGGTGGGAGATTTTGACTGATCCAAATATTCCTAGTAAACTTCCAAGGCTGAAAGTAGACTTCAACATGGTTTTCCTAATCTTAGAGAATCCTTTTGATCAAGACATGAAATAATCAAACTGGAAATATGAAAGAATGGAAAATATGAGGTTGGTGGTTGGTTGTTTAGTACAGGCTAATTACAAATAGATAGAAATGAACAAGAGAGTACTCTAATATTCTAATATGCACATCCTAAATTTACTTTTTCCATGATCTGTTTCTCTCTTCATTCTGTTCATACATCTTGTTTGTTTACTTTTAGAACCGTTTATCAAAATGCCATTTCCCAAATTGTATTTAACTGCATCTCCTTTCTCAGTTTCCTTGCAGTTATGCCCTGCATCTTTGTCCTAAATGAAACATGAAGAATCAAAACATTTCTTACTTTTTGCTTCTGGAATTCTCAAAAAATCAGCATATACAATTTTTACATTTTTTCTTGTTCTTTGTATTATATCTGGCAACTGTAGCAACAAATCTTCTTATCATCACTGCAGTAGCTTTTGATCATCAACTGCATAGCCCCATGTACTTCTTTTTAATGAATTTGGCTCTACAAGACATAGGTTCTGTTTCAATCATTGTGCCCAAATCCATGATCAATTCCCTCATGAACACCAGACAAATCTCTTACTTTGGTTGTACTGCTCAAATCTTTCTCTTTCTCTCCTTTGGAGCTTCTGATTTGTTCCTCCTGACGGTCATGGCATATGATCGGTATGTTGCCATTTGTCATCCATTGCACTATGAGATGATGATGAATTTGAAAGCCTGCACCAGAATAATAATTCTAGTGTGGATTATAAGTCTACTCTATGGAATGTTACATACCACTGGCACCTTTTCAATCCTTTTTTGTTCTAATGTTGTCAACCAATTTTTCTGTGAAATTCCACAATTACTAAAACTATCCTGCTTTGGTTTCAATCTATTTGAGGTTGGAATTCTTGTGGCCAGTGTCATTGCTGGACTAGGTTGTTTTACTTTTATAATTATATCTTATGCTATGATCTTTAAGGCAGTGGTAAAAATCCCTTCTGAACAAGGTAGGCAAAAAGCCTTATCCACTTGTCTCCCTCACCTTATTGTAGTATCTATGTTATTGTTAACTGGAAGCTTTGCCTATCTGAGAACTCCCTCTGACACCCCATCTTACTTGGATTTTGGGTTGACTGTTCTGTATTCTCTTCTTCCACCTCTGTTCAATCCAATCATTTATAGCATGAGAAATAGGAATATCAAATATGTGCTGTCTAAATTGTGGAGATTCTGAAAACAAAATATTTTAATATTGTTTCTATTTTGGTCATCCAATTTTGAATTTTCCTGGCTATTCTTTTAATTTTCTGAATACAGGAATAAGTTAAAAAGGGAGACATGTAGTAATTGGGATGGAAGGATCCAGAAGAATTGTAGAATTCAATTAAACCCAGAAGAATTATAGAACTCAAGAAGTTACTCATCAAACATTCTGCTTATTTTAAAGATTCTAAATGTGGGTAATTGGCAGCTTCTGTGTTGCCACAAAATAACTACTCTTGATTTTTCATGAGTAGGATGCAATATGCATATTGCAGGATGCAATATGATTGGAAAACAAGTGTAATTGTTTAAACTTGTTTAAACTTGTTTAAGTGAAAATTGTTTAAAATATGTGGCCTATTTTTCCCTGTGCTTTCTGTATAAACTGATTTCCTCTACAATGCTTTCCCCCAATATGATTAGTTAAAGTTTCAACTTTTCCAAGAGTACGGAAAACTTTATGCTGTACTCTCCTTAAATGGTTATTTGCTCACACATTTTGATATTTTGTTCCTTTTTATCAGTCTTAACTCCTTCCATCCACCTGGAAAAGTCACTGTATTTTTCTTGATAAGGTTTTTAGAAGGGATTTTCCATTGCCTCTTTCATAGGGCTGAGAAAGTGAGTGACTGATCCAAAGTCACCATCTGGTTTCATTCCTACAGGAAGACTAAACATCAATACCTATGGTTTCTAGTGTGGTGCCTAAAGCGTCACAAAAAAACAGTTTTTCACTTATTTTAGGTCAAGAGTATTCTTTTTTTTTTTCTCTTAGAAGTGCTTTGGCAAAACCAGGCACTTGATAGTGGGCATGATGGGTGAGCTGGTACTAGCTACCATCATTTTTTTTATAGCCACAACAATATGAAAAAGCAAGAAGTCTATGTCATAATTGTAATTGAACTTCATGTAAGCTTACAGTAACATGCAACAACGTATCAATTGGAAGAGATAAGAAATACACCATTGTCTACTAAGTGAAGAAACAAATATAAATAGGTGTACACCAGAATGACATTTTATTAACATATGCTAGAGAATGGTTTCAACCAAGCTGCTGATAAGGTATACTAAAAGGATTATTCAGGTTTTGTGTTATCTATGCGCCCATCTGTCCAATGCCTTTTAAAATTCATTCCACATAAATATACATAAAATGTATATTTAAACAAAGACAGGTGAAATTCTTTGAGGCTCAGTATAAGTATACTTTGGGAAGTGCCAAATGCATACTAGCATCACCTAGACAATATCACTACCTATTTATTGAGGGTGGGGGTTTTCAGGTCAAGGAATATGAAATTTGCTCCTATATTTATGCTCCTATATTGAATGTTTTCTCTTGTTTACTTGCCTTATTTGTGAAATTTCTTGTCTACATTATATTTTGCAGTTACTCAATAAAGTAACTTTACTTAATAAAGTCTTCAAGGAATCCTTTTCATGCCAGCTCCAGCTGGAGATGTCCAGGATGCTGGGAAGGGAATGAAATGAGTGAGATTTATACAGAAAACTAGATCTTTGGAATTTTGTAAAGATTCACCACCCCCTTTATTCAGCAAGTATGAGGAAGAATGAGAATTTACACTTTTAAATATGAAAAATCAAAATATATCAATAAATTCTTCCAAATGCAATGTTCATCTGCATTGCCATTACTCTGCCTCAGAGTTATGGCATATGATTTACCCATGCTGTAACACAAAAATTTATTTTGAATTTGAGACGATGTCAGCTTTTTAAGGAAGGTCATTCAAGAAACCAACTCTACAAGTTTAAGTGGGATTATATTTTACAGTCAGGAAAGACTGGTTGTGTTTTCCTTTCTCTCCTTTTTATACAAAGGGGAGTTAGTTTGGAAATAGTCTGATTTTTTTATTATGCTTTCCTCATTTCCTGGATGTAAGATTTGTTTTTGTCATTGCTGCTATGTAATTTTCCACTTTCAGGCATGATGTTAAAACATGTTTTGTTTAAGCATGCTTTGTAAAATAAGAACAAGTTTCAATACAAAACAAGGAAGAAATAAGACTGATTAGAGTCAATAAGACCTAGTGGATCTGAAACATTTTTGTGGTCAAGAGTTCTGGGGGAACAAAAAATCCACTGGTCCAATGAAAGAAGACTGTCTTCTTACCCTTTCATATATAAATGTGGGTGCATATATAACAGGAGCGATACTTGCATCACAATAGTGCTGTAATGACTTTGTCAATGTACTACAATGTACCATCTAAAAACACTTCATTCTTTATTTTTATTTGCTTAGCAGAACATATGATTATTATACTTCCCTGTATATGCTCTGCCCTCCCAATGGGGTGTTCAGTTTTTCTTCATTTTATGGCTATGGCTTTTATCCTTTCAAACCAGCAAAGCTGTGTATACCACTTCATAGTGTTTTACAGTTTAGTTTTAGTTTAGTTGATTTATTTGATTTGTATACCACCCTACTCCCGAAGGATTCAGGGCGGTGAACAGCCACAGGATAAAAAACATGAATACAAAATTTAAAACTGAATAAAATCGAATTAAACAATTTGGCCGAAGACAGATTTAAAACACCCCAATAAATTAAAAATGAATTAAAATTTACGTTTTAAAAAGGGGGGAAAGAGAAACGAGTTAGGCCAGGCCAACCTGATGGAATAAAAAGGTCTTGAGAGCACGGCGGAAGGTGAGTAGATCCGGGATCCTCTGTATCTCCAGGGGGAGTTCATTCCAGATAGTAGCTGCCCCCACAGAGAAGGCTCTCCCCCTGGGGGCCGCCAGTCGACATTGTTTGGCTGAAGGCACCCGGAGGAGCCCCTCTCTATGAGAGTGTACCGGCCGGTGGCAGCAGGCGGTCCCATAAATAACCATGTCCTAAGCCATGGAACACTCTAAAGGTGGTAACCAAGACCTTGAAGCACACCTGGAAGACCACCGGGAGCCAGTGCAGCTCGCGCAGGAGAGGTGTTACATGGGAATGCCATGTCGCTCCCATAACCACCCACGCGGCCATACTCTGCACCAGTTGGAGCCTCCAGGTGTACCTCAAGGGGAGCCCCATGTAGAGAGCATTGCAATAGTCCAGGCAGGAAGTGATGAGGGCATGAGTGACTGTGCATAAGGAGTCCTGATCCATAAAGGGATGCAACTGGTGAATCAGGCGAACCTGATGAAAAATCCTCCCGGTCACGGCCATCAAGTGCTCTTCTAAAGACAGCCGTGAATCCAGGAGGACACCCAAGTTGTGAGCCTCTCTGTGGGGGCCAGCAATTCGCCCCCAATATAGTCAGTGATGGCACCAACTGACTATATCAGGATGTTGGAAACCACCGCCACTCGGTCTTGGATGGGTTGAGCCTGAGCCTGTTTCTTCCCATCCAGATCCGCACGGCCTCCAGACTCCGGGGCATCACTTCAAGGACATCGTTGGGGTGGTCCGGGGTGGAGATGTACAGCTGAGTATCATCAGCATACTGATGGTACTTCATCCCAAAACCACCAATGATCTCGCACAGCGGCTTTACATAAATGTTGAACAGAAGGGGCGAGAGGACCGACCCTTGTGGCACCCCACATATGAGGTGCCTCAGGGTCGACCTCTGCCCCCCTGCCAACACAGACTGCAACCGGTCAGAGAGAAAGGAGGAGAGCCACTATAGTACAGTGCCCCCCACCCCTAACTCTTCCAACTGATGCAGCATGATACCATGGTCGATGGTATCAAAAGCCGCTGAGAGATCTAATAGGACCAGGACAGAAGAGCAACCTCTGTCCCGAGCCCTCCAGAGATCATCAACCAATGTGACCAATGCCGTTTCCATGCTGTACCCAGGCCTGAAGCCCAACTGGAATGGATCCAGATGCACCATTTCATCCAGGTGCTGGGGGAGCTGTAACCACACTCTCAACAACCTTCTCCACAAAGTGAAGGTTGGAGACCTGACGATAATTAGACAACACTGCTGGGTCCAGGGAAGGCTTCTTGAGGAGAGGCCTCACCACCGCCTCTTTCAAGGTGGTGGGGAAGTCACCCTCACTCAACGAAGCATTTATAATCCCCTGGAGCCAGCCTTGCATCACCTCCCAAGAAGCCAGCACTAACCAGAAGGGACACGGGTCCAACAAACATGTGGTTGCATTCAATCTACCCAGAATCCTGTCACGTCGTCAGGAGTCACAGGATCAAACTCATCCCAGATAACATTCTCAAGACCTGCCTCAGTCCTCCCCCCTGAAACTACCCAGTCGGAGTCCAGACCTTCCCGGATCTGAGTGATTTTGTCATGCAGATAGTGTACAAAGTCCTCAGCTCTACCCTCCAAGGGGTCCTCCCGCACTCCCTGGTGGAGCAAGGAGCGGGTCACCCTAAACAGGGCCGCTGGGCAGTTCTCTGATGATGCAATAAGAGCAGCAAAATAATTACACTTTGCTTCTTTTATCACCACTAAGTAATTCTTAATATGAGATCTTACCAGTGTTCGGTCAGATTCAGAAAGACTGGCCCTCCAACTGCTCTCCAGGTGTCTTTTCTGGCGCTTCATCTCCCTCAGCTCCTCAGTAAACCAAGGGGCCAAGTGAGACCGGTGCCGGGTCAGAGGCCGCAAAGGCACAACCCGATCCAAAGCTCCAGCTCCACCCTGTCCCAGGCGGCCACTAGGTCTCCAGTTGGGGCATGAGCCAGAGCCTCAGGGAATGGCCCAAGCTCCATCTGGAATCTATCAGGCTCCATCAGGCGCCTGGGGTGGAACCATCTTACCGGCTCCACCTCCCTGCAGCAAGGTGCAGTGGTTTGAAGGTCAAGGCGAAGGAGAGAGTGATCTGACCATGACAAGTGCTCGATGACTATGTCCCCTATCTTGAGATCACTCAACCACTATCCAGAGACAAAAACCAAGTCCAGCGTGTTTCCCCCTGTGTGGGTAGGGCCATGAATTAGTTGGGTCAGGTCCATAGCTGTCATGGAAGCCATGAACTCCTGAG